AAGCTCCTGCTGAAATTGTAAATTAAACATGGGCAGCCTGCTTTGTTTCAGGCCAGTGTCTGCCATGAGAGGAACCCTCAATCCCTCAGAGCTGTCTATCATCCCATGGCGCAGGCGGCAGTAACCTGTGGGGAAGGCGCTGTGTCACTGGAATCAGCGGGTGTCCTGCAGCTCTGTGTTTCAGAAGCTACCCTTTGCTTCTTGAATTCTTGCAGAAAAAAGACTGTTCCTTTTTACCTCGGCTCAAGTCCTGCCTTTTTGCTCCTGAGCTGCCAGGCAGGAGGATCAGCCCTTTCAAAGAAGTTTCTCACGTCTTTGTTGACCAGCCCTAAACACAAGGTCTGGAACAAGAACCGTACAATGCTAGTGGCACATTCAGTGAGAAAACCCTAGTTTTGGGGACAGGCAGGACAAGAAAGCAGACTATACATCCCACGGATAGAGCATAATGTGATTTAGTGGTCAAACAACAAAATGTTATAGTTGGGCTGTACAGCTGCTAAATGTGTTAGTCCTTATACAAACATCGAATGGGATTTTAAGCCTTGATTCTTTTGAAACATCAGGCTTCAGAGAAGACCTATTTTCTTCTAGCATTTAGCATCATGTCTTCAGGCTATGGGATATTATTAAAAAAAAAAATCAAAGCAGAGTTCATCTCTGTTGTATTAAGCCTCATTCAGTGTGGATTTTTGCATTTTCTCTTGCACAGAATTCCTGCTCCCTTTTGCTTTGCCTCTGGTATCCCAGCTGTTCACGTTTCCTTGGCTCGGGCCTTATGAAATGAAGCCAAGAAGCAGATTTCAGTGAAAGCAAGAGAATTTGCAATTAGCTCCACCTTTTTCAGAGAAAATATCATATCTGTGTCTCGAAGTATGCTTTGTTGTAGCAGCACGGCACAGTTCCTGTAATCATGTCTTATCAGTTTGTTGAGCCCATATCTTTATAAGAACTGTATCCCTACAGATCTCCTATGGAGGAAACAAGAGATGCTCATTATATTCACAGCTGGGCTGTCTTGAACCTCTCTTTGAAAATCAAAGCAGTTCAATTATTCTTTTTACTCCTCAATTTTACCCATTTCTGCATTGCTGATTGTATCTGGGGTACAAGATGGTCACCCAAATACAGGTCAAGATTGGGATTTACTTGAGGTCGATTTCTTACAAAATATTGAACCATTTTACTGGGCTTTGGCATCCTGTTATTTCCCTTTGAAGAAAGATTTATTGTTTCTTGCAGCTGCATCTGTCCTCTTGTTACTTTGTGTGTGTCATACCCTGAGTGGCTTTAATGCACTAAGGTAGCAGAAAACCACCCCAGAAAATAAGATCATACCCTGCCAGGCTAATGATTCACGTAGTTCACTGGAGGGTTTGGTGAGCAACAAGAATTGGCTCAAGGGAAAAGACAGGCCCCCAGGGCCAGGAGAAGGGTAGAGGTAAAGAAAGATAAGGGGGTGAGGGAGAAGGTCCCTTTTTTTCAGCAGAGATATCTGTGTTGCCTCAACTGACTGTGTACCAAGCCTTGGTTTCACCCATGGTGGAAGAAGTTCAATAGCCCCTTCTGGAAACAAGGTTCATTTTTTTTAAAGTGGAAAAGCTATTTTCTTATTTCTGACATGCTACTGGAGACAAACAGCCGTGCTCCCTGCAAGCCCCTCTTCTCTCATTGACCCTCCTTCCCTTTGCACAGTCCCAGGCTCCTCCTGTTTGCAGGTGGCATCGGAGAGAGGCCCTGAGGTCTGCGTTTAAAGCCAGTTTAGCACATACAACTGGACAGACTTTTCTTCATTCTAAGTGACTTGCAATTCTTTTTTGTATAACTGGGGGGGGTCAAAACCTCTCTACCTCAATAAAACACTGCTTCCCGCACTTTGTCGGGGAGAGTTTAAATTTATCACGTGTACTTTGTTTCTGCTCAGGCTTCTCCTCAACACTCCATGTTGTCTATTACTGTGTATAAAAATGATCTGTGTTGACACAGGACTGAGTGGGCACTTTGTATTATCAGCTCCAGCATTTGCCTGCCCTTTATTTCAAGCAACAAAAGTGTATTTCACAGCAAGGTGATTTCTTGAAAGGTTTTCCACTGACAATTTGTCTAAAAAGAGATGCTGCTAGAGAAGGCAGAAAGCTGGATTTCTTCAACCCATTCAGCAAAGTTATTGAGGAAATTGCTCAAGGATTGGCAACTACTGCCGTGGACCTGGCTGCACACTGTACTTTCAGGGCTCTTGGTCCCTTTGGTCAACAGGATGGGGAACGACCCCTCTTTCAGGGCTTATTGGGTTCTTATTGCAGTGGGAGGGCCCCTGGGAGCCGGGACAGCAGCTTCATCCAAGATCTCTGAGACCACCAACAGCCCCTGCCCTGCCTGCAGCCCGTTGTGCACACCAGCATGGCTGGTCCTCACCAGCTCACATAGATCCACCATAAGGAGGGATGTGCTTGCTCTGCACCATTCTCCCTTCTGCAGCAGCAGGCTCTTTCCACTGCTGCTGGCTGAACTGTTTTTAATTATCCTCTTTGGACTTTTGTGCACAATAATCAACAGTTAATTGCAAACAATCAGACAAATTGGTTGTTCCCGGGAAGGCGAGAAGAGTGACAGAGAGGAGCAGGGATTAAAGCAGGAGCCGACCCCAGTGACGGGCACGGCTGATGACAAGCAGCTGTTTGGAGTAGATGGGGTTCTGTGGAAGAGGGGCTGCAGTGAAAGACAAAGCATCTCATCTTTCCTCTGTCCCTGAAGCATCTTCACTTTGCGACTCGCTTCTGCAATACCACCTCCGCTGTCAGACAATACGGGTTGGATTTGCCAGCAATATCATTAGATCCCACTAGTCTGTGGGGAAAACAACTCACTGGAGAACGGCAAATTAAAAGGCTTAAAAAGCAGTGGCAATGCTGCTGCTTTTCCTGGAGTTGCCTAGAAGTTTCCAAGTGTCTGGGAGGAGACCTGTCAGGCTGGAGGTGAGCCCCAGGGAGGTGAAGGCCTCAAAGACGTGGCCTGGGATTGTGGCATCATCCCAGCTGCAGTGAGGCCTTTCCAGGAGGATCAGACAAGTGTGGGAAGGACTTCCTGAGCCTGAGGCTGGTGTTTTACTTCTAGCGTGCACGTTGCTGGCACGTTTTGGCTTTCGCCCCTTACGCGTGGTTGGACGCTAACATTATCAATCAAAGGGAATTAAGGGGTTGTGTCTGTTCATTTCTTTATTATTGCCTGGTTGCCATATCCTTGGGTGTGGCTGGTTTTATTTATTTATTTTTCAACTAGTGAGAGGCCGCTCTCTTTTTCTAAAAATCTCTATTATTTTTTTTAAGGGCGCTTGCTCCGTGCCCCGCAGGCGTGCGGAGGGAGGTGGAGCTGGGCCTACACCTCCCCACGGCGGCCTGTTGGCTCCGCGGGTCCCGGCCATGCGTGCCGGCGGGTCCCGGTCCCGGGGGTGGCGGCGGGTCCCGGTCCCGGGGGTGGCGGCGGGGGCCGGTCCCGG